GAGCAGAAAAAAGAAATTTCTGAAAGAATGTAAACCTCGTAAATCGACGCTTCAACACGATTTTTATTTAACACTTTCTTCTTAAGATCGCGCATTTTTCTGTTAAAAAAATAATAAAATTAATTAATAAGATAGTATTATTGAGTATGCTGAAAAATGTTATTGCTGTGAAATAAATTAGATGAATTATACCTCTCAAAATGGTACATCCAACGAAATTGGACAGGCCCTCAAACTTTTGCCTCGTATGGTAGATGGATTGCCAAATGCTCCATTGAATCAAAAAATGCTGGAGGAAATACTTTCTCTAACTTGCGAATGGTCTCCACAATTTTTTCCTCCCACATCTCCATGTTACTAACTCAAATAATTGGAGCACATAAAGCTCTAAAGAAGTTGCTAACATCAGTGAAAGGACCCCAAACTGCATCTATAAGGAGATCACAAAAAGCAACTGGCAAGAGATGCTGCATGAATACATGACAATCATGGCTTTTCATTCCGGACAATCGAAAATCATGCATTTTGACACAGCGTCCTATGTTGGATGCGTACCCATTTGGGAATCTCAAATCCCTCAGCCACTGACAAACATGAGCTCGTTGGTCTCGAGTAAGAACATATGTAGCATTGGGTTTTAAAGCTGTTCCATCATATTGAGGGATCACTTCCAATTCAGGTCTATTGCAATACAGTTGCAAATCCATTCTAGCATTTGTATTATCCTTCGTACAACTCTTGTCATCCATTACAATATTCTTAATATTATCAAAAAAAAAATTTTCACAATGCATGACATCAAGGTTATGACGAATCAATAAATCCTTCCAATATGGTAGTTCCCAAAATATACTACGTTTCACCCAATTATGGAAAACACCAAATCCCGGAATTGATTGTTTAGGAAGTGATTGGCCAAAGATAATGTCTGGCAGCTCGTTAATCCGCTCCTCCATTAAATGACCATCTAGTCGTGGGGGGGATGGGCTGGTTTCAATTCTGTTTACGTAGAAATATTTTTTATCTCTACCAAATGGATGTGTAAGAGGTAGAAATTGATGATGACAATCAAAAAATGATATTTTCCTCCCAAATTGAAGTTGAAAAGCCTTAGTGTTCTCCATGCAATAAGGGCATGACAACCTCCCATGTGTACTCCATCCAGACAACATGCCATACCCTGGGAAATCACTTACAGTCCACAACAGTGCAGCTTTCATGATAAAATTCTGTTTTCTAAAATTGTCATATGTTTCAACCCCATTTGTCCATAATTCATTAAGTTCATCAATCAATGGCCTAAGCAGAACATCAATATTTTTCCCTGGACTTTTAGGTCCAGCAATTATCATGGAAAGGAATATATGCTCCGAATTCATGCACAATTCAGGCGGAAGGTTATAGACTGTAAGGAAAACAGGCCAACAAGAGTAAGCTTATGCAGAGGGGCCAAATGGATTGAAACCATCTGTGCACAACCCAAGTCTAACATTTCTAGGTTCTGCGCCAAATGTTGGGTACGTTTCATCAAAGTGCTTCCATGCTTGACTACCTGCAGGATGAATAACTTCATCTGAATCATCACTACATTTCAAATGCCATGTCATGTGCTCCGCTATTTTCCTAGACATGTATAGTTGTTGCAGTCTTGGGATAATTGGAAGGTACCACAAAGATTTTCTTGGAACTGCTTTCTGCCTCACCGCAGCCATATTCCTCAGTTCATAACGAGATTCTCCACACACCGGACAAGCATTTAAATTCTTGCTTTGCTCATCATAATACAAGAAACAATCATTAATGCAAACATCAATTTTCTTGTATCCAAGTCTGAGCACATTTATCATTTTCTTAGCAGTGTAGAAATCTTTTGGCACCTTTTCTTGGTCTTCTGCACTTAACAACTTTCGACTCAATGATAATGTCATCTCCCAGTTAGAAGCACTCATGTTATTATGAGTTTTCATGTTTAGCATTTCTGCCATCCATGAAAGAACAGTCACATTCTGTTCCCCACTACCTATATGAACTTTTGCAGCATGCAAAAGTTCATAAAATTCCCTTGCCTTATGATTTGGCTCCTCAGCCATTGGGTCCTCATTATATTCACCCTGTGGATCCATTGCATCAACTAACATTTCATGATACATTGCATCTGGCTCATTTCTATCAAACCCCAGGTTAGAAAATTCCCCTATAAGGTTTCTTGCTGGATTGTTGGATGTTTCCCCATGAACATACCATGTATAATAATTGTTCATAAATCCATGCTTACACAAATGCATAGAGATAACCTCAGGGTTCCCCCATTTCCTGCATCTACATTTGGAACAAGGACACTTGATCTCTGATTTTGCTTGGGGTTTAGAAAATGCAAAGCTCACAAAAAATTGTACCCCCTCTTTAAATTCATTAGTAACAAAACCACGATCGTCTACACAACAATCTATCCAACTGCGGTCCTCCATCATTTAATTACCTAATCTGAATTTCAGTTTGACAATATATATTAACATATATGCCAATAACCATACACAAACTGAACTTAATTTTAATAATTTGAAATAAATTACTTTATATATAAATTTATATATAAATTCAATATATACAAATATGAATCTAATTCAACA